CCCGCCCACCTGTCAGCGCCCGTCAGCGCCGGCCCGGGCAGCCGCCCCGCGGGGCCGGGGCAGCCCACGCCCCGGAGGGAAGTTGCTTGCCTGCGGCTCTGCACCACAGGGGGGTGGGGGGCAAGGGGGAGATGGCGCCCAGGGAGCAGGGACGGGGTCAGGAGGGGGAGCGGGCGTTGGACGGGAGGATGGGCAGTGCCCCCGCCAGCTTTCCGTCACGGCTACTTCTGAGCCCGTATTGGCACTTTGGCAGTAGATGGCAACGCTGCTCCGAGGATAATCCCAGCCCTGATTAAGTCCGTTTTGTACCCTGGGCTCGCTATAAGGGAGGGGTAGGCAAAATCCATTCTGTGGGGCCCCTAAAAAGTGTAGAAAATGAATATTTATCTGCCACTGCCTGCCCATCATGCAGCCCTCAATGGCTTGCCAGAACTCAGTAAGCGGCCCTCCGCCCAAAATAATTGCCTGCCCCTCCAGTGTAAGGGAAACGTCTCCAGGTAGGGAGCCAAGCGTGTGAACGCAAATAGCCCGCCAAAGCCACTGTACTTCGCTGTTTTCCCAGGTGAAAAAGCATGTGGGAAGGAAGAGAAACTCATGTAGAAGTAAAGAAGCATTAGGTGCCAGACACAGGATCTGATAGTCTCTCTCTGCTCTTTACTTGGCAGTTTTAGGCTCCCTGTTTTGGCAGGCGACCGAAATGATAAAGGGCTTGGAAGGCAAGTCATATGAGGAAAGGCTGAAGGAAAAAAGGCATGTTCAGCTTGCAGGACAGGCACTTAAGAGGAGAAACATGATAGAAATCTTCAAATATCTGAAGGAAGGACATGATAGAAATCTTCAAATATCTGAAGGGTCGCCATAAAGAGGGAAAAAAACATTTCCTATTGCTGCAGAGAGCAGAGTGCAGATCATTGGCTTGAAGTTACAGCAAAGTAGACTGGATATTGGGAAACATTTATTCACGGATAGAGCAGGGAGGTAATGGAATAGACTGCCTAGGGAAGCTGTGCAATCTCCATCACTGGAGGTGTGCAAGAAGTTGGATAAGCGTTGGTCAGGGATGGTTTAGGACAGGGGTGGGCAATTATTTGTGCCAGAGGGCCACTGAGGGAGTTTTGGTGAGTTGTCAGCACCCCTCTGCCCCCCAACAGCTCATCCAAACTCCCTAAATATCCGGGAGTGGGGCGGGCAGGCAGGGCTGGGGCTGGAACTGGGATTGCTGGGTGATGACAGAATGGGGCTGGGACCCAGGGCAGAGCCACAATCTGCTCCCCACGTGCCCTTGTGATGGCCACTGGGCATGAAGGGTACAGATCTCATCCCTGCCCCAGGCCCCAGCCCTCCGCTGTCACAGCCGGTGATTCCAGGGTCTCCTTGGAGACAGGGCAGGACCGTGCACAGGCAGACTGCATGGCCAGATGCATGGGATGGGGCTGCAGGCAGGCAGGGAGCGGCATCCAGGAGTGGG